GGGGGTTGGGGACCGCTGGCTTAGACTGTATGTGCACAGTCCAAAAACACACTTACATACTCAAAGTAGTGCAGAGTAAGAGACTAATAAAATGCGACATGTTCAGTCATCAAGCCTGAAGCACAAACTGCTTGAAAGGTCTATATCTCACATCAAACTATATCATTTTCAAACTGCTCTAAAAGGCACAAATGGCATAAACAAAGTCTTAAGGTCCACTTTGTGACTGGAATTAACAGATATGAAACCTAGTAGACTACGAGTTGTTACAGCTGCCTGCATCTGGACACCTGCCCAGGAGTTAGTGATGTTGGCCACTTCGCCATTTTAAAGTGCTGCCCTCTTAAGTTACAGGCTTTCTGTATTGTCTGGCTTACCTTAATCACCAGTTTATCAACACTTTCCTAGTTATGCTTCATCTAATATTAAAGTTGTTCACAGTTTACTTAGCTCAGCTGTTTACTAGTACATACTGCCCTCTGATGGTGTTTTTATGTAGTGTGCTATAATACATTACTTCAATTCAGCCAAAATATGTTGGCATTACTAAGCACTCTGTGTACTCTCACTGTAGTACTGCCCAAGCCTAACTATCGTTGCATTTTCAGGCAGGCTGCAGATCATGTCCAAGCATTATGTTGCTGTTTCGCACCCACGTTTGATGATGACAAAACAGTAACAAAACTTTTGACACAGGAGAAAAAAACTGTTTACTATTAGAGCTTAATGAACAAAATGTTTGGCTTGTGTCCCAAAACTACTTTGAAGCTGACTCGAGGAATTCTGGAAACGTCATTTACACTGTATTTTTATATTGTGTTCAGCAAGGGACTCCCAGTACGTTTCACTTTCTGTGGAGTCCAGCCCCTTTCTTCGCGGTCCACAAGGTGGGTTGAGGGGAGTTTTAAAAACACAGACAAAGCATCCAAATCCTGCATCTCTTCTGCTGTCTGTCGAGATGCTCTGCTTATGGCATGTGTAGCTATCAAGCACGACTTCACATGGATTAAACATGCAAACGGGTACAGGAGTGCATGCATATACGTAAATGCTTCTGAATTCATTAACGGTGGTGAAATGTTAAAGTTTGGGCATTGATGGCTGTAATGCCCTGAAAAACTACATTCACAGAGAAATTTAGAAGAACTAAGAGTGAATGAGCAAGGAAGTGGAAAAAGTTAATATTTAAGAAATATTAAATTTCTTAAACAAATTAGAGAACTGAAGACGTGTGCAGGAATAGTTTCCTGTTGGCTTGGGCTGCTGATGCTGTTTCTTGTGGCATTATTTTATTCCAGCTATTTTTTTTTTCTTAAACCTGGAATATTAAAGATGTTCTTGCAGTGGGCATCATTTTGCTGTGCATGTGAGCACTGTTAAAAGTGGCCAGCTTCATGTTCAAACTGAGAACAGTTGGAGGTCAAACCTGGTCACATGTGAATATCATCATGGTATCTGTGCATGTGGGTGTGACCACCGTTAAACCTTTGCGTGGCTGAAAATTATGGCTGTGCACACACACAGATTCATGCGCCATCAGGCAAAAAGTAATTTTCTTTTACCTCTTCCTCTTCTTTTGGGAGCAGGAAATATCCTGTTTATTGTTTGGGATGTGGGATACAGTCGTTACTCATTTTTGAGAGGTTTTCATGAGGATATTAACGACTCTCCCCTCTGCTGTTGTTTTTCTCGGGCCAGTCGAGGCTAAAGGACAAAAGGGCGACAAAGGGGACAGAGGAGAGAAGGGAGAGAGGGGTCCAGCTGGGCCGAAGGGAGAAGCAGGCTCTGGCTCCAGCTCAAGGAGTGGATCCCGTGGAGACAAGGTTTGGACTCAAAGACATGTTTCAGCCTTTATGGTGGATAAAATAAATGTAGTTACCTGGTGATGCTTGAAACAGTTTCTTATTTAAGGCTTCCTGAAGGATGCATGTTTGGACAGCACAACCGTTTGTCTGTAGAATAGTGAGTTTTGGCTTAAAATTGTTATTTTTATATTTGGTTATGAAGTTATGTCAGCTTTGTTAGTTGTAATAATGTTTGTCCACGTTTTAAGGGCTCAAATTAAATGAAATCGCTTTCACGGCCTCACTCTATGTGCTATATCATTAAACGATCGTTGATGAATGAAGCATACATTAGTGTATCCTTTCCTTATCTTAACATAAGTTGTTACTAAGAGCCACACTTCAAGAGCCTTACCGTTGGTTGGAAAAGATAAGAGTAGCAGTGAAGAAGATGTGGTAAAAAATACCCTGAAGGAACACAAGAGGGAGCAGCAAATTTCTAATGGAATATCAACACATTACTAACAGTCTTGTATTTTGTTGATTGGCCTATTTGTGCTACTGGCAAACTAATGTACTTTATCACATTGGGGGGTGCTAGATGTTGTTGATATGCTGAAAATAATTAATTTAGCACATTGCTCTGTGTTTGCAAGGCAACATAATATATAATATAATTAAACATTTGTGGCTATAAATAGAATGACAGGATGCTTTTATAAGGTGCTGTTGGATAAAATGGGCTGTTTTTAGCATCTTAGTGGTTGCCAAGCATCATGGTGATATAATAATGTCCAACATAGATGAGAACCTTCAGGGGCTTCAGAGATGGACGTGTGTCCCAAGTTTGGTTGCTTAACTTCTGATAGTCTAGAAAGTTTTTTAGGCAAAGAAACAAACACTCTGACAGACAGCTTCATGCGTCATAGTTTTTATTTTATTCTGAAAGAAAACTACATTTGTGTTCTTATTTCGTCATTGTGAAAGTCAAAATGCACAATGATGACGGAAAAAGGAGAAAATCAAAATGAATCTATACTGACCTCATTATCTTCTGCCATGAGACACATGCATAAAGTGAGGTGATCTAAATTTATGCACAGGTAAAATTGTGAAACTGACATGCAACAAGTGAAATATGATCATGTGTAGCATTTTTTTTTAAGTGAATGTAGTTTTGATTCTGGATTTGATTTCTATTGATGCCACCTCAGCCACGGTATGAGACACTGGGGATGTGCTTCATGCCTGCTATTTTTTCAGGTCTAAATAGAGAAATTGTTTCATCATTGACTTTACTGTCTCTTCTATTTTCAGGGAGAATCTGGGACAAAGGGAGAAAAGGTAAGTAAGAGATTTCCCTCTGGCTCACTTGTAGCTCTATGATTTTGGTCGCTGAATAACACAAATGTAATAAACTACTAAAATTAAATGGGTGTGCCTGCTCTTCATGGCACCCTTGGGTGAACAACTCTGCTTCAAACCTCTTAACGTGCATCAGATTTCCAGTGATGCATTTGGGCTCTTAAGTAGCTAACATTTAGCTGTTAAATGTTAGCCACACTCCAAAAATAGTGCCTTACAAATCCAGTTTAACTGTTTGTATCGTTTCTCTAGTTGTTATCGCTGAGAAGAATGTTACAGATGCACTTTAGAAAGGCAAACAGTGAGAATATTACATTTCAGCGTTTTTCCTGCAACAATGCTTTCCATTTCTAGGGCAGCGCAGGCTTTGGATATAAAGGTGTAAAGGGCGAGCCAGGCCCACCTGGACCCCCGGGGCCCCCTGGTTCTCCAGGACCTTCACCCGAGTATACAGTCGGCAGTGACGGCTCAGTTGTTTCGAGAGTTCCCGGGCCCAGAGGACCACCCGGAGCACCAGGACCCCAGGGAACTCCAGGAGCTGATGGAGAGCCAGTTAGTGGACTGAAAATTATTTGCTTACTAGAAAACACCAAACACAACAAATGTGCTGTTACTGTTGAACCAACGTTACTGTATCTGTCACGGTTTGCATGTTTACATATATTATTCTGATTGTTTTCACATAGTGCTGAGAGAGTGCAAAGCACCGAAACTTGAGGAAACACAAACTGATAAAATACAAGAAAACTAAGGAAGCTAATTAATCTGACAACACATCAGTTTGCTTGAATGTCAGTAGTTCCTGTTGTGAGATACTTCTACATCCTACTCACAGGGCCCTGAATTTAAAATCTGTGGCCAACCTGATTTATTTACATACTAGTCTGACTTCTAACTCATGTCATTCTTTATTCATCCTGCAGGGTGATCCTGGTGAGGATGGAAAAACTGTAAGTTGTTTTTAATAATGTATGACTTTAAATACAGAATAGGCATCTCACAACATCTCAACTGCCCTAACATGATGATTTTCTCAATACAGGGTGCTCAAGGACCTCCAGGCTTCCCTGGAACCCCAGGAGACCCTGGAGCCAAAGGAGAGAAGGTAAGATACACTGACAGGGTAACAGGAAAGGAAAAAAAACAGAAGCTGTAAAAAGAATCATTTAATGTGCACATGTGCTGAGCAGACCTACCTTGTCTTAACAAATGTTGTACCTACAGGGAGACCGTGGAGAAGGTCATGCAGGCCCGAGGGGGCCTCCAGGTCCTCCAGGACCCCCAGGACCAGGATTCAGATCTGTGAGTTTCAGCTGATTTTAGTGCTTAATGATTGTTTTTAAGAGATTATCCTAATTTCAAATATATTTCAGACCTTTGAGGATATGGAGGCCTCAGGATTCCCTGATCTGGAATCTATTCGGGTGAGAGAAAAAACATTACTTCTTTAATTATTCAGGGTTTTGTTTATATATGTTTATATTGTGGTGAAAGTCTAAATGTAATGAATGTTTTTGTTTTGTTTTTAAATGCAGGGTCTACCTGGGCTACCAGGTCCACCAGGCCCCCCCGGACCACCTGGTCTTCCCGGCGCCTCTACAGCTGAAACGGCATCGAGTTCTGCAGCATTTGGACCACCAGGAAAAGATGGAGCACCTGGTAAACCTGTAAGTGTCAGGCTTGCAACATGACTAATTAATACATATATCAACACTCAAACTCTCTGAAGTAACTTCTCAGTCTAACCAAATATCAATAATCAGCTAAGAATGTCTATCTGATCCTAATCTTTTGGCCTCTAGGGCTTGCCTGGCATACCGGGTACTGATGGCAAACCAGGAGCTCCTGGTCCCAAGGGGGAGAAGGTAAAGACTATGAAGATAACGGTTTCTTCTCTAAGAACTAAATAAATCTGATCTAAAATGACATTTCGTCTAATGTGTAATAAACGCTAAAAGTGTGCAGTAGCTGCTGGGGTTCAGATATCAAGAGCAAAAATTAAAATCCAGAGAGAACTGCAATAAAAAAAAGCTTTCAAGCTATGCTAACTAGCTTTGACCTTCCAAGTGTTGGATGGGAAGCAATGTGTGGATCTCCAGGCTTTCTAGTTTCCCCTCTGGACTGGATAACTGGTAGTCCTAAATTTGCCATAGATGTAAATGCGAGTGTGAATCCTGAAAGGCACTGGAAGCCTCTACAGGAAGTCTCCGAGAAATTTCAGTGATTTGGTGGTGTGACAGGTAAGCTAAGTGTTGGCGATCCAAAGTACTTGGTACTGGATTAAACGAATCTAAATTCCAAAAAAGATTCATCTAAGCTGAGTACCACTGGGAGCAAAGGATACTGTGACACATGACACAAACGCTACTCATTTCAACCACAAATATTAGGGGTGGGAAATACAGTAGCAAGAGTTTTCTATGCAACTATATCCTTAAATGTCTACTGGCTACCAACTATAAGCTATTAAGCGAATGCTGATGAGTAAATTGCTCAGTCTTTGGACAGGCATTAGACACAACATGTCCACAGCCGCTTTTAGATTTTTTGAAAGTAAGAAAATTGTTCATAGTTCTTATTTCAAGTTTCTATTCAACTTTAAATGGTGTTGATAAGTGTTGTCACTGTGTTTCCTAAAATAGGGTGATGCTGGCGAGCTGGGTCTTCCAGGAGCAATTGGAGAAAAGGTGTGAATTGATGACCTGTTTTTTTCTCTCTCCTTCTTTCCTTTTTAAAGATTTTATCTCAAAGTTAGTGTCATAAAGTGCTCTTGATGTAACTTGTTTTAGTAATTAAAAATTGTTTAGACAATCCTGAGAAGAAGGTAAGTACATTTCAAAGTTTATGGCACACTTTTGGGATCTCCGAGTATGTAGAGGCACCCACAGGATAACCAGTATGTCATGTAATACTTCTAAAACTTTTCCTATCCCTTTCTCTTCCTCAGCCAAGTTCCTACTTTTCTTTTCTCACCAATCTGCTGCCTCACTATTTATCCTCCTCCTCTCCTAAGCCTTCCCATCTGCAGGTAACTGGGCTCCAGCGTGTCAGTCATCAAAGAGGATTTGTGTCTTCTAACAATATGCAAATGTCTGTCAAATACTGTCAGTTGCAGACTTGACTTTAAGTCTAATCTGAGAATTGGATGTGTTTTATTTCACATATTCTGACATCTAAATTTAGTCCCAGGACAGTGAGCATGGGTTTTGTGCAAAACAGTGTGTGCTTTGAAAACTCCTTCCAAGTACTCTGATGGCTGCATGTTTAGTTTTGGATGATACATGATGCCAATTAATTAAAAACACATTGTAGCTTTATTTATTCAATTCAGTTTTTTATATATATACACAGTGCCAAATCACAAAAACAGTCACCTCAAGACACTTGTGAGGCGACTGTTGTTTATTATGCAGTCTACTAAGTATTAAATCTCTTATTTGCTTTGATTAATTTATTTAATTTTTGCCCTACAGGGTGCTCAAGGAGAACGTGGTTTACCAGGAACTCAAGGAGAGCCAGGATTAGCTGGTCTGCCTGGACCCAGGGGACCAGTTGGATCTCCTGGACCTCCCGGGCCTCCTGGACCAAGTTATCGAGTTGGATTTGTAAGTTATCATGATAAGGTACTTTTACTTGTATAGCACTGAATCCTAGCAACCATTACCTCAAGGTGCATTACATTCTAACAAGTTCCTATATCTTATTAGAATGTTGCTTTGTAGCTGATTTTGTCTTATTTTAAGTGTAATGAGATATTTCTACTAGAAATAAGACAAATATACTTGGCAAGATTTTGAGTTTTTGCAGTGCACTACAATAATACAGAGGAAACACCAGCAATCAGACAACCCGCTATGAGCAAGCAGTTGGCAACAGTGGAAGGGAAAACTCCCTTTTAAGGGAAGAAACCTCAGGCAGATACGGGTTCAGGGAGGGGCAACCTCCACACTGAGGCATGACCTGATCTTTGAAGAGGTAGAGGAGGTGGGCAAGCAGAGGGAGGTCTGGTTTCTCTGCTTAGACTGCTGCGCCCATCATTCCAACCGGGATAAGCTGCAGAAAATGGATGAATGGTTGGGTGAAAGTAGACATATTTAGTTACGTATATATAGTGATTGGCTTATAAGTTAAAATATTTACTGGAAATGTTTCAATCAGTTTCCAGAGTTTTCCCCTCCCACGATCCAAAATGTGACAGACTAGTGACATGCTAGCTTTACTATGTTTCTTTTGCAAAAAACATTTAATCTCCAAAAATGCAATTTAAAATATTTCATTTGAAGGATGACATGGAGGGCTCTGCTGGTGGTTTCAATGGACGTCCTGGCATCGGAGGACCAGATGGAATACAGGTACACGTGTTCTTATCGACTTTGGAAGATAATTTTATATAAGGCTTAAATTCAGAGTAAAAATTTGAATAAGCAATAGTACTTGCTTAACCCTTTATAATACATGGAAATGTTCATTCACCGAACTGAGCACGTGTATACACCCTTATATAGGTTGTGCTGTTCTACAGTATGGTACTTGATGGGCTGGCTTCCATAAAAGAGACAAGCAGGAAGCATTTTAAAGCAAAATCCAGGCAACTTTGAAGGAACAATAACAAGTGAGTTTAGAATTAGTGAAAACAAAATATATTACCATAGAAACTGAAAATATAACAAAGTAAGTTAAAATAACATTATGTTGCAGCCCTTTTTTCATTCATAAATCAAAACAAATTACAAATATTGACTGACTAAATCATTTTAACGGTACTTGGATTAAAAACGAGGCGATCGTGGCTCAAGAGTTGGCAGTTCGTCTTGTAATCGGAAGGTTGCTGGTTCGAGCCCCGCTCGGACAGTCTCGGTCGTTGTGTCCTTGGGCAAGACACTTCACCCATTGCCTACTGGTGGTGGTCCGAGGGCCCGGTGGTGCCAGTGTACGGCAGCCTCGCCTCTGCCAGTGCGCCCCAGGGCAGCTGTGGCTACAATGTGTGTGTGTGAATGTGTGTGTGAATGGGTGGATGACTGAATGTAGTGTAAAGTGCTTTGGGGTCCATAGGGACTAGAAAAGCGCTATACAAATACAGGCCATTTACCAAACAAACTAATTTACATATTCCTGTATATGAAGCCTAAAAAGCCCTTAAAATGGGGTAAACCTTGTATTCGATCACTGTGTAGTCATGGCAACATCCAATATACTGTTGACCACTACTGTCCTACAGTGAGTTTATGATAAGGTACTTTTTCTTTTTTTTCTTTTTAGAAATAACAAGTATGGCTTGGTAAATGCTTTTGGTGCATTCGTGAATAACTGACCTACCACCACTTGTGTTAGTTTTAAATGACCAAGTCATGTGATCCAATATGGTATCACCAAATTTCTAGAAATCCAACCCTAACAATACCTATTGAACTATATATAATGCAAGGGTTTCATCAACTTACCACAGTTAGTTCTGATATTATAACCATAAATTTTGGCGTAGGTAAGGATGAAAAACTCAATTTTCCAAATTCTGACATGGTTCTGGGCCATTGCTGATAGGTCAGATACACTAATGTCACTAGCTGTCACATAACCCGATCTTTCCTGATTGGCTAGAAGAAACTCAACCTTACAGTGAGTTATGGGATGGCCAGTTTTGATGTCCATTTAAATGATCAAATATGGTTCCATCAAGGGTTTATCAAGAGTCTATTAAGCCATCTGATTAAAAGGTTTCTGACCAACATGATCTCTCGCTTGCAGATTTCTGTAAGAATGTTTTTAGAACTGTTCAAACAATTTTTACGAGGAAACTGCAAATACATGATGAAGGATGAAGAAGCTATACATGAACTACCAAATAACCCAAACAAATATGTGCTTTCAGGGTCCTCCTGGATTACCTGGACTTCCAGTAAGTAAATTATAATTTATGTTGAGGTGGAAAGCTTGGAGTATGATCACAAATAACAACAACATGTCCTTAAATGTAATTAGTTGTTGACCAACATCCATCCAGCCAACAGTCGACACTGATTATCATTGCCCTTTGCATTAGGTTTTGCCCTCCTGCTTGCAAAACATAGTCCTACGCTGAGTTTGAAACATCAAATCTAGCTTGATGTGTTCCACATTAAGTCAAGGAAGCAAGATTTAGAAGTTCAAGTTTCTGCTCTGTTTCCTGTTTGCTGCCATTTTCTTCTTCTTCGTTTATAATTTTGTTTGCCACCAACTCAAATTGAGTGTTCTTCTGCAGGGTAACCCCGGCTTGCCCGGCAGACCAGGTGAGAAGGGTGATGGAGGTCCTGCTGGAAGAGATGGGCAACCAGGCCTGGATGGCTTCCCTGGACCTCCGGTAAAAACCCCCCGACAAAAACAACTTAATAAATAAAGATTAAATTAAATCTCTGAATTAGACAGATTAGTTGAAGAATATTTACATATGTAATAATTTCTCCAAGTTTTTATCTTTATCTTTGGAATAGAATTTTTCATGTTGGCATTCATGGACAACTTGTATATTAAAACTGATATATGAAAGAAAAAAACAAAACAACGTTTGTTGTTTGAACGTTTCATGTAATTAGGTTAGTCTGCAGACCGGTCATTTGACATACAGGTTTCTCTGTTGCTAAAGTATCTCACTCTTTGAATTTTACAGGGATCAAAGGGTGACAGAGGAGACAAAGGACAGATGGTGAATATCATTTGTAATTATGATTGCACTTGTTTTACTACAAAGCACTCATTACTAAGATATAACACGAATGATATCTCCTACCACAGTAGCCTTCCTTAACCTTCTGTCATGTTGATTATGTGATAAGCTTTCACTACTGGATGCTAATAAATTTTTTTTCCTCTTTCTTTCTGGTTTTAGGGTGAACCAGGTCGAGATGGAACTGGACTACCCGGTCCACCAGGTCCACCTGGACCACCAGGACAAATCGTCTACCAGACATCAGGCAATGTAAGTAAAAAGAGATGAGCACTGCTGTTTGAGTCTGTATGAAGCTAAAATCCAAACCTGATGGTAATGTCTGCCTTTTCCACAGTTTGATGAAGTCGTTGGCAGAGCTGGCCCTCAGGTATGTTTGAACTCTGAAGGTGTTTTTGGACTAAAGACAAAGAGGAGTTTCACTTCATGTTACTTGCACAGATTCAAGCATGCTTGTGGTCCATGTCACAACCCAGAAATGTTACAATTGGTATTAACACTAACATTTTTTTATACAATTTACCAGGACGTCCTACAATTTTGTTTCCTAATGTTGAATCATGCAGCTTTGGTTACCCTCAAAGGGTACCAGTAAGTTATTCCTTCATTTCTAATCATCAGGCGAATCCACAATCTGTGGGAGAATCTCAGCCGATGGCCTTTGAAAAGAAAAAACCCCAAAAACAATTTCAACCAACTAATGCTTATTCGCCTTTATGCATACTGCATGAAATATGCATAGGCTCTGTAATCACACAGTGGAAAAACCTGGACTTCCACAATATTGCACAATAATACCAATATCAACATGTTACAAAACAGCTCTAACATTGGTATCACGGTGAGCATGGACCTGTAGATCCATACCAGCCTCGATATTTGCTGATACTGGCAAATAAGGGCCAAAGCCCATTTTGAAGTTGATGTTGGCAGCAGGGTCCCACTGGAAAAGTAAGTCGTACTCAAAAGAAACATCCAGGGGAATATTTTACAACTTCTTCTGCCATATTTTTAAATGTTTGCATTTGTGACTATAAGGAATAGTTCCCTTATAAAATGGGCTGTCAACTGAAACATGACAAACAGCTTCTACCAAGATTTATACCGCACAGCAGAGTATACAATTATGGTGTTCAAAAGAAACCTCACTGCTCATTACAAATTTACAGTGTTGTAACAACTGTGGAAAAGTGACAGCCAAGAAACAAACACTGGTTTTCATTCACCTACACCAAGCAAAAGCAGCACTTAACTTCACAACCTGCATTTTTAGCCTTAATTTGTGTTAGCCATAAACTGTGTGTGGATTTGCTCATAGTTACTGGTAAACAAATGTTTGGCTGGTATTAAGGAAAATGAATAAAACTGATCTAATCAAGTTAAACAGAGGTGTGTGGTTTTGTTTTCCTCTACAGGGTGGGCCTGGTTTACCTGGTCGAGCTGGATTTCCTGTGAGTTTGCCTCTGTTACATAATTGTGTTTTCTTGCATAACTATATGCACAATATTAAAAATTTAATATGTAATTACATGAATGTGGGACATCAGATGATATCATTTTATTCTTTTGAAACAATACTGTAATGCTGTATTAGTCAGGGATTACTTTGAGATAAACACGTTTGGAGCGCTAGCTTGTATGTAAATCAGGAGGATAGGGTGTGTAGGCAGGTGACGTACCAATATCTGTATTTATTAATTTAGCCATCAACAAATGATTCTTTATACGAATGTCAATGATAAGGCCCATTATATTGGCTTATTTGCTTCATGGTAACAAAACGTTGGGTGCTGTCAAATCTAACTCATCTAATGTTTTCATGTATTTTATTGTATTTTTTTAATATATTGCAGGGTCCAATGGGGCCAAAAGGTGACCGAGGAGATCCTGGTCCTCCAGGCTATGGTGAGAAGGTAAAGTCTACATTATATGTTACTCTTAATTTGGCTGCTCTGATCATTTCTGTCATTGAGTATTTGTTGTCTTGGTGCTCTGTGTTCAGGGTGAAAAAGGGGAGCCAGGCTTGGTTATTGGCCCTGATGGAAATTTTCTGAATTTGGCACAGCTAGCTGGTCCAAAGGTGAGTCTCAGTGAATTTGACTATCTGGATTTCTATCTATTATGCATTAATGTACTCATGGTCTTTGGTGTATTTTGTGATGATCATTTTGTTCTTGAAACTAATCATCCCCCCAAACCATGCATGCAGGGAGACAGAGGACTTCCAGGACCTGTTGGGCCCCCTGTAAGGTTTTCCATTTCTAAGACTTTTTTTGGTTAATGTACTGAAACTGTTTCAATTACCTTATTCAATCACCAGTCAATTGACAGCGCGTTTAATTATATAATTTATATGTGCAGGGACCATATGGGCCTCCTGGACTGAAAGGTGAAATTGGAATGCCTGGAAGACCTGTAAGTGCTTCTTTCTTATTGTTTTACTAAATACTGACCATAGTGAAGTGTATTCTATACCATTTTTTACTTTTGACCTTAGTGTGGTTTTTATCTTTTTGTTTCTATTGTCCAAGTTCAACAAAAGACAAATAAATCAATAACTTTCTCCCTTCAGGGTCGTCCTGGGATAAATGGATATAAGGGTGAGAAAGGAGAGCCAGGGGTTGGATCTGGCTTTGGCTACCCTGTAAGTATTAATACTATTATCAATACCTTAGCTTGAGAGGCTTAGCAGCAAAGATGGTTTGATGACATTGGCTTACTTTACATCCCTCAAGCCTGTATTTTACAGGCATTGTGTGACTTCCCTGCTCCCATGTTAAAGGTCACTTTAAAACACAACTGGCAATCACACAGAACTCTTGACACTGAGTGTAAATACAGAGTCACTTTCAACTTAAAAGGTTAATTTTAGCACATTATAAATGTGTTTTTTTTAACCCCAACAAATTTGTAAGTCTTTTTTCCCCCTTTTCTATTTTTTTGGTTTTAGCTTTCATAACTAAACATATACTGAGCATCATTAATTTGTTAGCTCTGTTTTTTAATCTTTTAATGAAACTAAATTCAACAATGACACCTTAGGTTCTAAATACTGCATTCAAGTGAACTTTCATTTAGCTAAGCATTACTAAAGCAACTTGTGATTCATTAAAAAAGAGCTGCACTTCTTTCCTCACACAAAACAACCTACTCTACTCTTCTTTTGTTTTTAAATGCCAAATGTTATGTTGCCAAACACATTTCTCCAAGAGTGGCCACATTTAATCCCAGCCAAAGCTTTACAGTCAGTTATATTAAACTCACAAAAATTATTGAGTCCTCCAAAAATATTGAATATCTTTGTTTTCATTAGGGAGTGCCTGGCCCTCCAGGACCACCTGGGCCACCAGGACCCCCTAGCCCAGCCAGTCCTTTAGACCGTTTCAATGTGAGTACACAGCTTCCCAAAAATCTGGTCATGTCTCATCTTCCCTACCGATTATTTTCCTCTGTTGTTGTTGTTGATTGTTTCCCTTCTGTTAACAGCGCTATGATGAAAGGAATTATCCAGGTATGTCATCTTCACTTGTTTTATTGTTTTAGTGTGTAAAAATAAATACATTACAAAAATATATGGTCAGATTAAATTAATCAAAAAGAAGGATCACAGTAGAGAGGGTTCAGTAAATATGGGAGGGGAAAGGAGGAAGGATTTTTAAAGGGTTCAAAGTGTCTGCAGAGATAAACAGTGCAATCTATGAATTTAATTTCAGTTCTGCTCCTTCAGCCTGCAAAGGATATACACTCCACTGTCAGGAGATTAAGCTTTCAAGTCTAGATTTGAAAAAAAAGAATGAAGAAGTCACTGGCAGTAGAGCACATGGCTTTCAAGGGTTCGATGATATTTAAACCTGCAGAGAGTTATGAGTAATTTTGTAATGTGAAAAACTTTGTATTTTGTGTTGTAGCAATTAAAGGAGAAAAAGGGGAGCGTGGTGAGACTGGACTTCCAGGGATCCCAGGTAAGTCCTCATTTTTGAATTAAGAATAAATGAAATTTCATTCCTTTATGATTGTAAAGGGTTGTGCAATCTTTTCTGTTGACGTTTCTCACGTAAAGTCGTGCATATACTGCTTAAAGAGTTATGTGCTATACTGCGAGGGAAGTGTGTAATCTGCGATTGGTTGGGAATAGTTCCCGGAAGTTTCTGGCTCTCAATAAGTGAAATCACATACAAAGAAGGTGCTACACCAAAAACCTCCTAGTGATTGCTTTGGTCGCTAGCAGATTGCAGCTGTTGTCTGTAGTTTCTCATGTTTGTCTGTAAATGCGCGTTTACTACTAACCCAGCAATAGTAAAATCTGAATAAGTGCAACACAAATAATCTGGATTAGAGTTGTTCCTGGTGACTAATTTCTTAGTCGACTAACCGACTAGTCTAAGACTAAGAAACACTCAGATTTAGGTTAAATTTGAGAACTGTTTATTTGAAAATATCAAAAACTAACAAAGGCATTTTAAGCCATTTATTGCGTCCTCTACTCTGAACAGCTCCCAGTTAACTGAACTCCTCACCCTATCACAGGTGGGAGAGAGCCCATCCACCTTTTGGAGAAAGCTCATTTCTGCCAATTGAACCTGCAATAATAGTTTTAACAAAAACTCTGCTAACAGATTTATGGCTTTTCTCAACAACAATCTGATGGCAGATGGCTACAAAAATTTTTTTAGGAGACATTAATTTTCTGGCTTTGGGCATCAATTAATATTTTAACAATTAGATTAAATGACTAGTACGTCTGGTATCAACTAGTGACAACAGCGATGATTAGTCGACTTGTTGACCTCCCTAATCTGGATTCAAATATACTGGTAGTATTGACTGAATGCATTAATGGAAAAATAAATTTTATAAGGAAAGACTCACACGTGGTCATTGTTTCAACACTTGAAGGTGGGCATGTGTGACATTTGCGGGGGTATATTTGTTGGCAAAATCTCACAGGGATGACAGCTAAACGTTGACATGCTAACCAGCTGTTTGATTGGCCCTTAGTATGACACAGACTGTTCGTGTAAAACACTGTGATTACTCACTGCAATGATTACCTTCTCCTTCATTTTGATTCTTAAACAACTACCCTGCTCTCTGAGGATTACAATGGCGTGGGGCAGTGAAACAGTTTCATTTGATTTACCAGCTGATCTACTAGCACCTGAAAAGTTGAACTATAGTGCTAAAGCCTGAAATTCGTACATGTGAATTACATGTCTTTGTGATCACACTGACCATTGTTGATCCCCGAGATCATGAACTGTCAGCACAACTATAATGCTGCATATCCAGCACGCTACACAACTGCTTCACTAAAGCATCTTTTTTTTTTTTCCCCAGGAGCATCCCCTAATGTTGATATCTACACATTGAGGGTAAGCTAGCTCATTGTTACTCCAGTCATTTTTTTTAGTTTATTTCTTCTTCATCAACAAACAAAGTTGAACTTCTTCTGACAGAATGAACTGAAGGGAGAGCGTGGAGAATCAGGTGTCAAGGGAGAAAAAGGAGAGCCCGGTGGTGGATATTATGACCCTCGATTTGGAGGAGTCCAAGGACCTCCAGGACCACCTGGCCTCCCAGTGAGTTCTGAGACCTTATTTGTTAATACAACCAAAAAACATTTGGCCCTGATCTAGATGTGATATTCCAGAAATTTCTGATTTTCTTTTCCACATTAGGGTCCAAAGGGAGATTCTATAATTGGGCCACCTGGACCATCTGGACCAACAGGGCCACCAGGAATTGGTTATGATGGTCGTCCAGGTCCTCCAGGACCACCTGGACCCCCGGGGACTCTTTCAGGATCATATCGGCCCAATTATCGTAAGTGTCTTTTTCCACAAAAAAAGAAAAAAAAGACACTTTTTGGGGAAAAAAACAATACAGATTTACAGGTTTTAACCTGTAAATCTGAATTGTTTACAGGTAGCCACATCTTAATCTTACTGAATGCACTTTACTGGTTGAATACTGGAGATAAATTGCACTTCTGTTTCTATTTTTTTTTTAAATTTTTTTTTTTTTTATATTTAAGCTGTCAGTGTCCCTGGTCCTCCTGGCCCTCCTGGCCCACCTGGAGCTCCTGGACTATCCTCTGGAGTGAGTACTATCACTGAATTTTAATCATGGCTCCATCACAAGACTCTGAATTCACAAAATTCATTTATCTGTAGAATGGCAGTTTTTGATTTATTTTTTGTACCCACCCATTCATATATCCATCCATCGTCTTCCGCTTATCCAAGGGTTGGGTTGCGGGGGCAGCAACCTAAGCAGAGAAGCCCAGACCTCCCTCTCCCTAGCCACCTCCTCCCTGGCAGAGTCCATTACCCACTGGGAACAAGTCCGACTTATTGCCCGAATGAAAACCCTATTGTTTCTCCTGTATCTGAGGTTCACTAATGGACAGACTCTCTCCTTTTCAGCACCCTGGCATAGACTTTCCCAGGTAGGCTGAGGAGTGTGATTCCCCCCATAGCTGGAGAACAACCTCCGGTCCCCTTTCTTTTAAAGATGGGAAACACCACCCCAGTCTGCCAATCCAAAGGTACCACCCCTGATCTCCACACAACATTGTAGAGGCGTGTCAACCAAGACAGCACTGCAACATTTAAAACATTCAGGAACTCTGTGTGAAGCTCATCAACCTCCAGGAACCTGCCACTAAGGAGTTGTTTAACTGCCCCAGTGACTTCACCCCCAGTGATGGGTGAGCCGTCCCCCTCATCCCGGGACTCTGCTCCTCTACCGAAGACGCGTCACTGGGATTAAGGAGATCTTCGAACAATTCCTTCCACCAAGCAGAAATATCTTTAGTTAAAGTCAGCACTACTCCACCTGCACTACATACAGTGCAGGTAGAGCACTGCTTTCCCCTTCTGAGTCACCTGATGGTTCAGCAGAATCTCTGAGGCAGTCCAAAAGCCTTTTTCCATGGCCTCTCTGAACTCCTCCCACACCCCAGTTTTGCTTCAGCCACTGCCCGAGCCGCGTTCCACTTTGCCTGTTAGTACCTATTGGCTGCCTCCGAAGTCCCACAGGCCAGATAAGCTTAGTCAGGCCTTCAGCCTGATGGTTAATTTGACTTCCGGTGTCCACTGTCTGGTTTGGGGTTACCACTAAGACAACAGGCACCAACCACTTCAGCTACAGCTCAGTGCAGCAGCTTCAGCAATGGACGTGCTGAACATGGTCCATTCGGACTCAATGTCCTGAGTGTCCCTGGAATGCTGTCAAATCTCTGCCTAAGTCGTGTGTTGACGTGAGCCCAACTATATCTAGCCAGTACCTCTCAACCTCAAGCACTAGCACTTGCTAGTTTTAGTAGAGATCAGTCCGCCACGGTCTCTGCCCCTGCCCGCCAGCACGCACTGTACTGTTTGTAATGTTTCTTAAATATATATGTCTGATGTATGGTGGTCTTTTTTTGTGTGTATGTGCAGGTGACAGCTTTGAGATCATATGACACAATGATTGCTACGGCCAAACGTCAGGAAGAGGGCAGCCTTATCTACATCATAGACAGAGCAGACCTTTATTTGAGAGTACGCGATGGAGTGCGGCAAGTCATGGTACTTTTATCTACTTTTCAGTGCAGTGCTTTGAATTTGATAAAATCAACTTTAAAACCAGTTTACACTATTATAATGTATCACTAGTTTATAACATATGAAAAACTTAATGTAAAGCGACACTAAATGGTTGATTCCTCTCCTTTCAGCTTGGAGAGTACAATCCTTTCTTCAGAGATCTGGTAAGTTTCACAGAACCATGAAATAAAATGTTGTAACGTTCATATGACTTAATTATTTCTTCTATTTTCACACAAAGGAGAATGAGGTGGCAGAAGTCCAACCTCCACCTGTGATTCTGTACCCGCAGTCGCAGGACCAGTCCCAAAACAACGGAGCAGGCCATTACTCTGAGGGTTTCACTTTGATAAAACCCATTGAACCTCCAGCACCCACACCCGCAGACCCCCGTTACTTTCCAAAGTATGATCCCAGATTCCCAGACCAGACACACACAGGCCATACCGATGGAAGATTTGCCAACCAGCAGACAGAAAGCAGATTCCCTGTCACTCCTCAAAGACAACCCGTCCCTCCTGTGCTGGAGCCTGCTGGCCATTTCGACATACAGGGATCAGGAGTGAGTAAAGTGGATACTCAAAAGCTCAAAAATATAATAAATATTAATTTACCTTACATAGGGATGAAAACTAGCTAGCTTGCCTAAAATGAAAATCATAAAAACAAAACAATATTATGTAGAATCCCTTCTTCTTTTAACAACAGTCGGCAGACATTTGGGAACTGAGGAGCTTAATTGCTCGACTTTTGGGAGAGGAATGTTATCCCATTATTATCTGATAGAGGATTCTAGCTGCCACTTCCATAGGCTGTGAAACCCAGCCCAGGAGACGTTACGTTACTTAGATACTGATATAAACCATTAATCATGTAAAGCCCTGACCTTTGTAAAACATCTTAAGTTGTTCCACAGTTGAAGTAAAATGAAAATTTGTGTGATTTTCTTCTTGTGAATCTGTCTTTATCAGCTGCACCTCATCGCCTTGAACAGCCCTCACACCGGTAACATGCGAGGGATTCGTGGGGCAGACTTCCTGTGCTTCCAGCAGGCTCGTGCTATCGGCCTGAAGGGAACATTTAGAGCCTTCCTGTCCTCTAAGCTTCAAGACCTCTACACCATCGTCCGCAGGTCGGACAGGGACAGCGTCCCCATAGTAAACCTCAAGGTAAGACCCAACATTCCAACAAGGACAGCTGCATGACTGACACCATCTTTCTGAAAAACTGAATAAAGTCACTATGTTAAATGTTATTTTTCTTTTTCCTTGCAGAACCAAGTGTTGTTTAGCAGTTGGGACTCTCTCTTTGGTGACAATGCCAGCAAAATGAGGGAAAACGTACCAATCTACTCCTTTGATGGTAGAGACATCCTCAGGGATAGCGCTTGGTGAGTCTTTGTACCCCCCAAAAAATAAATATATTTAACACCAGCATGCGGTTGTTAACCAGCTTTCGTTTCTTTTGCTTATTTGCAATCTTTTGTTCTTAATCATCTCCAGGCCTGAAAAAATGGTCTGGCACGGATCAAGCAAGAAAGGCCACCGGCAAACAGACCAGTACTGTGAAACGTGGCGAACTGGCGACCACGCTGTGACTGGTCTGGCATCATCACTACATAGCGGCCACCTCTTGCAGCAAAGCCCTAGCAGCTGCTCCGGCTCCTACATTGTCCTTTGCATTGAGAACGCCTTCACATCACCCTCCAAAAAATAAATGTCCATTCTCCTGCTTTTTAAAATTTTTTTTGTCATAATTCTGGGCCCTAGCTAAACATCCATTTTACATCCAAACAGACATGTTTTGTTCTTAATTCCCTGATAACACAGCTTGTGAACATGTGGCGTCCAATGAACTGGCCCAGCGGCACTTCGCCCGGCAGGGAGACTTTGCATTTGTCTGCTCCTCCCCTCAATACACGCCAAAGAGATGGGTTAAACCGAGGGGTGTTGGTCCCTTTTCTCGGGGGCATTGGCACATATTTTCAAGGGGCAGAACAACAGCAGAGAAGCTAAAAGCCTTCTCAAATTTTAGCCCTTTTTAAAAATTCTGTATATTACATGTTTTTAATTTGTGTTTTTTTTTTATGTTATCAGTGTCTTACCTTTTGTTAAAAATGCTATATCCATTTTTTTCTCCATAACATAGGTATTGATGATTTCAACATTTCTTTTCCTCTGAATTCTTGTTTGTAATTGTGGGTTGTGATGGGGTACAGCAAACTTTTAAGGACTATTTTAAATTGAAATAAGATAATAGATATTTATTTTTAAATGAAGTTATGTAAGTATAAAAAAATGGAAAATTAAAAAATGCTAAATACCCTCATTTATAAAAATCTTCTGTAAAGAGCCTGTGCCTTACTACACACATGGAAAAGCTTTACACAATAAGCTCATATACTTCTTTTTTACTCGTTCTGCTGATAGCCGAGCATTAGAACAGTTTTTGCCCAGGTCACGACACTCCTGTTATGAATAATCATGTACCCAGAGGGCAAGATTCCTTCTCATAGAAATTGAGCCTGATGATTCTAAAGTGATTATTTCCCCCTTTTCGTCTTTCCACCTTATAAAAGCCTATCAGCGATTAAGCTGGAAATGATTAGCTTGCTGCTAATCTTTATTGGAGTGATTGCTGTCTCAGGAAGCGGAAAACCAGAATAACTTTTTTTTTGGCCTTGTCTTAAATTGCAGAGAGTAACGGCATTAATGCTACCGCTGTCTGAAACAAACCTGTGGATGTTTTATTATTATAACTGTGCTGTACTGTTTCTCCCAGGCACTGAATTAAAGTCTTTTTTTTCAACCAGTAATGTCATGTATTGTACACAAATCTGTACTCGAGCCTATCCCAGCTGTCATAGGGTAAGAAGCATGCTACACTCTGGACAGGTCCATAACAGGGAAACACAATGTCCAGTGAACAGCAGTTCTTCAGATAAGAAAATGCATTGTTGATGTGTAGACTGTCAGTAACTTAAATAACCAACATATGTAGAAGAGCATCTCTGGACACACAACAGGTTAAACCTTGAAGCAGATGGGCTACATCAGTAGAAGTCCAATCATCTCAAAGTGGTTTCTTGAGCAGCTTCTTCTTTGTATTCAAATGTCCTCCATAGTCACTAGATCTCAAGATAATAGAGTACCTTTGGGATGTGATGAAAAGGAAGAGTCACATCAAGGATGTATGTATCTGCTGGAACTGTGTGATGTTGTCATGTCAGTATGGACTAAAGTCTGTGCCTTGAAAAATTCAGGCAGTGAAAGTAGGTAACAAGCTATACTTAACAAAGTGGCTAGTGTGGGTGTACTGCAATACTAAGACTAATACTAATACCACAGACTGGTCTTAACCAGCTCAAGCACTGGTGGTACAAACTTGCTTCAGCATGACAAGCCTGACTTGTTTCCAAATAAAACTGCCACTCAGTCATGGAGACATTGGCTGTAGTTTTATGAGAAAGGGAGATTTTAAAGGACTGAAGTAGGTCACCAGTCATTTGTGATGGCTTATGAAATTCTCTTAAAGCTCTTCCTCAAAGTTAGGAGGTGTTAAAGATAATATTTGATTAAGAAGATTATTCAAATTACTCAGAGTTGACCTAAATTGGTAGTTACTTTAAAATGAGAAGTTTAAGGTAAAACACCTACAAACCTAGATCACGTGGCATGGCAAAAGTAAAAGATTCGGCTAAAACATATGGGCAGCAAGTCTTCTCAATGCTGTGTACAGGTCATCTCTAGGACCGATAGCTTAGGGATTAATTCTCCTTCAAAGTGCCCTTGACAAAAGCACTGGCTTAGAACTAGAGCTCTCCTGCCTAGGACCACAAAGATTTCCAAAAGTAAGATACTACATTAGATGCTGTCAAAGTCACGCACCAAATTTCAAGAAACAGTTATTTGTCAAAATCTTTCCTTACATGTCATGATAAAAACCTGCAGTGAAGATGGTGGGTTTGCCTCAAACATATTTAACCCTTGGGGGGTCCTAGAAAAATGCATACACTATCGGACCTAGAGCCACAAATCGACCTAAGTCGCCCCAAGGGTTAATGTGGTGTGCATATTTATGCACGAGATCCTGGAAACCCTACAGCAACTTGTTTAATGAGCTTAACAGACTCAGATAACACCTCCGAACTCTTCAAAGTTCTATACACAGGTACCCAATACACTTTTGAGCCGATGGGTCGATTGAATAGCCACCACGCACTAGCTGTGCAAGTGATGGCAACAGGCCATTTGCTCATTATCATTATTGACACTGTGTTGCCCAGTCAAATCTCCTAATGCAACCAATACATACATACATGCACGCGCACACACACACAGCCTGAAGTTACATGGAACACAATAGTGTTCCATGTAACTTCCAAGGACTCCAGGCCTCGAGGGCCGATGTCCTGCAGGTTTTAGATCTCACCCTGGGTCAACACACCTGAATCAAATGATTAGTTCATTACCAGGTCTCTGGAGTACTTCAAGACATGTTAATTTAGCCATTTAAATCATCTGTATTGGATCAAGGACACATCTAAAACCTGCAGGACATCGACCCTTGAGGCCTGGCATTCCCCCACCCCTGCCTTAAACCAACTACCAGCAACTAAACTAACAGTTAACTGAAAGACCTCCATTTAATTAAAGAAAGAAGCTATGCATCATTTACTGAACTACTGCCGGCGTTGGGCTCAGTTCTCTGAGCTCATCACTATGTACTTTAGCAACACTTTGGTATCAGCTACATTTTCAGACTGATAAATGTGTTATAGTGAATCACTTCCTGTGGTGATTCACACAAAACAAGACAGTTTTTTGGACAGACAAGCCAGTGTGCATTGCACAAACTTTGGGGTCAGTTTCTGTCAAGTTTTATATTTTTTAGAAACTCTCACAGAAGTCAGGATTAAATAGTAGGAGCTGGAAGGCATCATCTGTCACAGCGTGTCATTGAAGAATCAAGGCCCAAACTTATCCATTCGCCCACCCCATAATAAGATGTTAGGGATATCCTAAAAATAATCAGTAAATGCAGCAACTTCCCACTCAATTCCATCAAATCTTAAGCATTGAAGCTTTAAGAGTGCTATAAGGCTTATATTAATTGACTGGGGGGGCTCAGTGTCACAGCAGTGTCCCCAGATGAAAGAAAAATAAACTAGCATCATAACTCCTGTCCACAATGTCCTTGACAGAGTAAATCTTGAGGAAAAAACCCCCCCAACAAAACTCACAGAGTGGCATATTATTGAAGTCTAAGTAAGGTTAGAGTGGGAGGGGGTGGTTAGGATGTAATAACCCACAGCTGCAATGTGCTATCGCACTAGCTGCCTGAGGACAGCTATATTTAGTGGGCACTAAGTAATAAGTAAGTACAGTGAAATGATCCAGCAACAGTAATGATACAACAAGGTGACAACCAGATATTGGGGGACTTAATTACATTGGCGGAGGAAGCGAAAAGCCACAGTTGTCAGATCTCTGGGTGGTGTTTATCCATTGGCGGTGACTCACTGTCACTTTAACCCAAATCTAACAATATCTAAACAGCGCGGTGCCATAGCCACTTAGTTTCTTCCAGTGTGTTCTCAGAGAAGAGATGCCTTTGTTTGGTGGTGTAACAACCTCAGCAGCACACAGGAAATAAATATGTATAAAAAGACTATTGTACTTATACACTATCAGTAAATGTGTGATTTTACTTTTATTAGTTTTAATGCATTTTAGATCAACATATTTAAAAGGGTAATAAGGAGATGTGACGTTACATTTGTGTTGCATCTCAGTACTTAAAGCGTTCTATGAGGCTTTCACATCTCACTGACATTTAGATAGATAATGAGTAACACTCTTCCTGTCTTTAAATCCCCTTGTGAATCTTCTGGCATTTAAGTCTATTTTTTTTTTTTTTACATCTCGTCTTTAAATATTTGATGAGGATGATGTTATCTCCAGTGGATATTCCAGGCATTGTGGAGATGAAGGCTTTGACCACATCATCATACCTTTGCTGTCTTTTACACTGATCCAGGTATGTTGCTCTGATGACTTTTGTCACTAGGAAGTATAGTTCAGCATCAAAGTAGGGCCCATCAATCAATCAGTCTCAACGGCCTGGATGTTTTTTAAGCAAAGCGGATTGATATGTCACACGGCCTTGTACTGACTTTCTATTAGTGATTGCCTATATTGAGCTGATGCATTTTAATTAATGCAATTTGTGCCCGTGCTCTTGCTTTAATGCATTTTTTATGTTTTCCTTTTTCTTTCCTCTAAATGAAAATGTCGCTTGGCAGCAGCGAGGGAAGAGAAGACTTCAGCTCATGCCAAAAACTCTCAGCCAAACTGTAGCAGCTCACGGATAATATAATTACTCTTTGTTAATTTCCGAAGAGCCGTAAAGCTTTTCAGACTTCTCCTTTAAATAAACGATGGTGTAGCTACTATAGATAAAAATAAACATTTTGCTCGGTTTATCAAGCTTCCAATTTTGTACTTCCGTGATGGCATAATTTAGAATTCACTCAGGTCAGGTCTGCGGCGCCGTGTTCGCTGCTACCACGCCAACCTTACACAGCTCACTGCCCGTGGTCGTCAGTGCAGCTGGGTACATATTCGATGTGACATCTCTTTCCATCTTCTAATGAATTTTTTATGTCTCTTCCTCTCACGCTCTCTCTCTCACACACACACACACACACACACACAGAGACAGACGGGCTTCGTT